GTAACCGGCCGCCCCGCCCCAGAGGTGGGTCGCGTCTCAGCGCCGGGCGAGGGGTCCCTGGGTAACCGGCCGCCCCGCCCCAGAGGTGGGCGCATCTCAGCGTCCAGCTCGAATACAATTTCTCTCTCCCTGCAGGGACGTCCCGAGGACTCTGCTCCCCGACGTTCACCGGGGCCTCCCCTTCCCAGGCTCTCCAACGCGGGCCGCCCTGGTCTCCGGCTCCTACCTCTATTACCACTACGGCTGCGATGGGGTGGACGACCGGGGCTGGGGCTGCGGCTACCGGACCCTTCAGACCCTCTGCTCCTGGCTGGCGGGGGCCGGAGCAGGGCCGGGGGCCTGCCCCCGGCCGGTCCCCTCCTTGTCGGCCATCCAGCAGGCCCTGGTGGAGATGGGAGACAAGCCGACGGCCTTCGCCGGCTCCCGGGACTGGATCGGCACGGTGGAAGCCGCCTTGTGCATGGATCACTTTTTTGGGGTGCCGTGCAAAATCTTGCACAGCCCCTGGGGGAGGGGACTGGGGAGGCAGGTGGGGGCCTTGTACGCCCATTTCCAGGGAGGTGGGGGGCCGGTGATGCTGGGGGGTGACGCCGACAGCTCCTCCAAGGGGCTGCTGGGGGTCTGCTCCGTGCCCGCCGGCCACCATCTCCTTGTCCTGGATCCCCACTATTACTGGGGGGCTGGGGGCCTTGGGCGGGAGGGGATGCAGGCGGCGGGGTGGGTACGCTGGCAAGGCTTGGCCTCCTTCGACCCTGCCTCCTTCTACAATCTCTGCCTGCCGCAGTTCTGGCGGGCCGCAGGCGAGGGGGACAGCGCTGGTGAAAACTGATTCGCGCGAGCGTCGCTCGGACGGCCGCCACTGGGCCACGTGAACCTTGGATTTCACGAGTGAGAGTCGCCCAGAGGGCCACCAAGAGCTTTGCACAAGGGAGATGTCACTGGGACCCGTGAACATTGATTTGCACGAGTAAGGGTCGCCCGGCCGGCTGCCCAGCGCTTCGCACAAGGGAGATGTCACTGGGACTTGTGAACATTGCTTTGCACAAGTGAGAGTCACGCGGCTGGCCGTCAAGGGGTTTGCACAACTGCGGAGACGCTGGGGTGAATGTGGTCTCAGCCGGGGCACCCACTCCGAGCCCAGATTCCCGAGGCCGCCCCAAAGAGGGGCTGTTAAAAGCCGGAGGCGGGGGAAGCTTGGGGGAGCAAACTGAAAGGTGGGGGCCATGGCTGGATCTGGGTGCACCCCCAGATAAATCTTGTGTCTCATGCATATTGTGCCTTTACCACCCTGTTAACAGACGGGCGTTCCTTGACCTCCGCTCGTCTGCAACATTGGGTTCTGTAAATCCAGTTAAAATGCTCATTCGTCCCTTTCCGCCTGATGCAGGATTTTCTTTTGTTGGTAATGCAATCCACAACAATGCTAACGCCTACGCCAAAACCCAGGCTTCGGCGTGACGGTAGCTGCGTGGCATTCTGGGCTTCTCGGTGGCTTTTCCTGATTTTCTGAAAGACCAAAAGAACTGGTTTCTACTCCTTTGGGGGGGGCAGGTGATTGCTTAAAATAGCCCTTTCTTTTACAAATGCTCTGGCTGATTGCAGGCAAGACAGAGGAATTGCCCCCCTATTTTCCTGGGTTTTCGTTCCACAGGCAGGCCAGGTTGTTAGCCTTTAGGGGACGTGATCCCACTGCTCAGTTGTGAGGCCACGTGCCTCAGTTTCCCTTTGTATACAGCAGAGCAGGTCTGTGGTGGTTCTCTCTGTTGTGCGAAACGTTAAGTTTATTCACAGGTAATAGGTGAGCAGCGTCACCATCTGGCTTTAAAGGATTTTTCCAAAACGTGTACACACGCCGCGACCCGTTGTTAGCGGGGACTTGGTAACATTCGGTGTAGCCCAATACCAACATTAACATCGCAGCTATTCAACGGGGCTTGTCGTACCAGGCCCTTTCTTTGGACAATTTTGTTTTTGAGGCCAGCGTGTTCACTGTGCTCTTGAAATCTTTGCGTAGGCATTTGAATTTCATTATATCCGTGGGGTTTGGGTGAATGAAAAGCTAGGGTTGTCATGCATGTTAGCAGACCCCTTTTGTACCTGTCTTCAGATTTCAGCATGGCGCGCACCTGTCTCTGGGGGCAGGGGCTGTGGGGAGCAGTGGGTGGGGTGTCGGGAGATCTGTTTATGGAGGGGGG